TTGGGAAGGCTCTCAGGGCTTTCTTGGGACGGCTCGGAAGCCTCTTGGGCCGTCTTGAGGCCATCTTGGGCCGTCTTGCGGCCAAAGTGGACCCGCCTTGGAACCCCTTGGAGGCATCTTGGCCTCGGGAAGGCGATCCAACTGTATTGTGCGAGGGAGCGTGGCCTGGGAAGCGAGGACCAGTCGCCTTCCGCGAAGGAACGAGTGGGCGCGTCGCGCTGGCCCAGCGCGGGGAGGGGCCCCCGAGAAGATGACAGACACCCCGCCAGGCAGCACTCGGCACGTCTCGTGCCGCGCCCCAGCGTGCCATGGGGGCACGGTGGCAGATCCCTGAGCACCTCGGCGGTCTCCCAGGGGCGTCTGCGGGGGCCCCATGGAGGCCCCGAGGGGACCTCGGGAGAGACCGCCGGACTGGCCCAGCCGTTTCCTGAATGCGGTCGGTTGGACCGAGGTATGAGGTCGAGGTCGTCTCGGGGAGGGCCCCCTGATGTTCATCGTATGTGTTGGATGAGCTTCTGTACCTTGGCAGCGGGTGCACTTGAATGTTCTTCCGTTTTGCCCGCGGAGGGCCTCATGTTCTTGAAGGGGGGTTCTTGTGCTCTATGTCTGCCGTATGAAACAAGACTTCGGAATGGACAGCATGCTTCGGAGGCCGCCGACGTTTGGATGCTCCCAGCTCCGACTCACAGGTGACATGGGATTCTCCGAAGCTTTTGTGTGTGGGGCCCTGGGACGACCAAGAGACCACGGAAGGAATCGAGGGGCCTAGGGGACAAGTCTTGGAACAAACGCGGCGTCGGTAGTCTGCGTCCTCTGCAGTCTGGAGGACCACCCGCAGCGGAGAAGTCTACAATGCCTCCCCGAATTGGACAGTGGAGATTTGAATACTGGGCCGTCGAAATACAGCGACACCACACCACCACGAGGACCTCCCTCTGCTTCTTGGCAATGATGGTGGTGGTCTTGCCTTCCGTTGGCTTCACTTGATATCTGACGATGTGTTTTCTGTCCAAGGCACGGCCCCAGAAGTCCTGACCCCTTCCCTGGGCCCGTGTCTCGTCGCGGATCCGAGATCGAGGAAACACACCCAGATTAGACACACCTTCAGATCTGGCGTCGGACAACAGTTGCAGCATCGCAAGAAATCACCGCCGGAGTCCCGGACCCAATCTTCCTTCGTACGTTTTGGAGCCGCCTATTTATCTTTGAGGATCCTGTGGCTCGAAGCTGGGCGAAGACGCCCGTCGTGAAAAAAAACATTGCGACGCCAGGACCTTAGGGTCCCAGCTCCTCGGAGCTCTGGGCACCGCCCCTCTCCCTCCTTCTCTGATGGGCCTGCTTTCCACCACCACCACCACCATAAGTTGGAGGGGGGAAGGAAGTGGAGGAGGAGGAGGAGGAGGAGGAGGAGGAGGAGGAGCCCCTCCCCCCTCCAACTTGTGGTGGTGGTAGTGGTGGAAAACCTGCCCAGCACTCTCGCCCCGGGGCGCAGGCTGCTGGCGCTCGCCGCCGTCCGCTGCCAGCTCGCCGCCCTGCGCTCGCTGCGGGCGCGGCGGGGCCCCGCGGGCGGCGCGCGCCGCGCGGCCGCCTGCTGGCCGGCCGCGCCGCTGGCTGGAGGCGCGGCCGGAGCGGGGGAAGGGGAGGGGAGGGGAGGGCCCAGAGATCCAGCGTGTTGGACAAATCAAGACGAAGTTTTTTCGCAAATTTCAGCCCCCGTGGGCCCGCGCCGGGCCTCGGGACCGTCAAAAAACGACTCAGGATGAAAAACGGGTCCTAGGGAATGGGTCAAGACTTTTAGGGACCGCGTATGAAAAAAATCACGACGTCGGATCTCTGAGGGGCGAGGTAGGCACCACCTCAGAGGAGGCAAGGTGCCCACACCGCAGCTCTCCCTCGGTTTCCCCTTCTATATGGGGCCTCCTGGGATGCCCTCGTCGCCACCGCCGGAGTCGCCTCGCAAAACTCTGGTCCGAACGCGCCCCCTAGGGGAGGTCCTGGGAGCAGCGGTATCGGTACCTGTGGGCTTCCCCAGCGAGGGGCAGGCTGGGCACCAGCTGGGCGCCCGATGCAGGCACCAACTCGGTTGGGGGTTTTCGGGCGTCTTCGCTGCCTCCCAGCGGTTTTTCCTGCCTCGGGAGTCTCTCCAGCAGCTGCACCTCGCCGAGAGCGTTGCGGGGGGTGCCCGGATCAGGATTGCCCCAAACGGCCGCCGGAGCGTTGAGGTATGGCCCGAACGCAGGAAAGGAGTGAGGGGTGCCGAGCGAGGGGGGGAGGGGCAAGCCGGGTGCGCTCGCGCGGGGGCCACAACCCACTGCGATGATCTGTTCTCCATCCGCGGACGCGTGCCATAGCCGACCTGGGACTCCAAGACAGGACTCCATCGTGCCAAGCGCAACCGGAAAAGGGGAGCTGCGCAGGCGTGAGGGCTCGCGGTCCAGGCTCCTCGGCCGCGATTCCGTGGATACACGGCGGCTTTACACGGATGCCCCCAGCAGAACGCATATCCATGTGATCGCGTATCCAAGGGATCGGGCCTCCAGACCACGAGGACGTGGACATGGATATGTACGTTTCTCGTGGCCCACAGGATGATGAGGATGATGCTGATGCTGATGCTGATGCTGATGATGCTGATGATGATGCTGATGATGCTGATGATGCTGATGATGCTGATGTTGCTGATGATGATGATGCTGATGATGATGATGATGATGATGATGATGATGATGATGATGATGATTATGATGCTGATGATTATGATGTTGCTGCCGATGCTGCTGATGATGATGATGATGATGATGATGATGATGATGATGAGGATGATGATGATGCTGCGTATGAGAACGATGATGAGGAGGAGGAGGATGCTGCTGCTGCTGATGATGATGATGATGCTGATGTTTTTAACAACAAAACAGATTTTGGGGGAGGTGGACATCAGGTTGCAGTACGAGAGCCCTCTGCCCGCTCGAAGGCGGAGCTGTGCCGTGGTGCACTCCGCGCACGTGCAGGCGCCAAAAGGGACAGGGCACCGCACTGCGCGCGTTCGACGGGGCGCGCCGACGCCGAGCTGCAGTCCGGGAGCGTGCGGGCCGATGGCCCTTGGTGTGGCACGGCGGAAGGGCGAAGCCACACTCGAAGGCAAGGGAGGAGCAGGCCGGCAGCGGCCTCCACCACATGCAAGAGCAGACCTGCCTATCAGCTCGCTCGCCTGCGGGAGCAGGTCACATCAAGCAAGACTACGCACAGGCAACATTCGTCGCCAACAGGTGGAGCAGACCTCCAGCGGTCTCAGCCACATTCAAGGGAACGACGTCCAAAACTGCGGTAGGTGGAGCAGACCTCCAGCGGTCTCAGCCACTTTCAAGAAGTAGCTTCGACCAAGTACGTGGAGTGGAGCAGACCTCCAGCGGTCTTAGCCACATTCAAGCGAAAGGAACCGCAGCGTGGAGCGGACCACCTGAGGTCTCAGCCACATCCAAGGGTACGTAGACCAGACCAATCCAACGTGGAGCAGACCTCCAGCGGCCTTAGCCACCTTCAAGACATATGCGAAGCGGCCTTTCCCTCTCGGCTCACGCCATTTGAGCTTCCAGGTATTTCGTCCACTCCTACAACTCCTCTTCCATGTGCACATTGTTCATTTCTAATTATCCGAAAGTTCATTGTTTTTTGGGGGGCCAAGATCCTTTCATTTCTATGTGTTCTATCCTGGGCCTCATCCTGGCCACTAGGGGGCCAGGAACAATTAGAAACGAGCACAATTAGAAATGAGCACGATTAGAAATGAACGACGTGTAGCCTGGCGGAGCGCTGCCGCGCAGGTGTCTCGCGCCGTTCTGCCTGAGCCCGTCCAGCAGGCAATGCCGGCGTTCGCCAAGGTCCGTCAGGAGCACGATCAGCTTCACCTCGTCTTCCTTCGCAGCCTTCGCCAGCCTGCATACGCGTCCTCGATCCTCTCGCATGCGTGAACGTCGTCCTTCGGCTTCTTGATGTTCTCCCGGTTCTGGCCGCCCACGGCGGCTGTCTCTGAGGCCACGTCCAGCATGGCACCGAAGATGAGCGGATGGGGTGGCCCCAGTGGAGCCAGGTCGCTTTGCGACTCCTTCTTCTGCTTGTACTCGTCGACGCGCTTCGCGAAGGCTTCCTGCTCCTGCTGCATCGCCACCGTGATCGCGTGGTTCTTGACAGTGTCCAGCATGGCGCCCTACATAAGTCTGATCTTCTGGGTGTTGTTGAGCAGTACGTCGGCAGCTCGCGGAGCCCGCTGTCCTTCACCTGAATGTTCTTCTCCTTCTTATCGCCCTTGTTTCGCCTCGTGCCTCCTCGAAGTGTCCGCTGGGCGGGGGCACCCGCTGCCTCCCTCTTCCCTCTTCCGCCTGGTGCTGAGCCAGAAGCGCCAGACTCACGCGGGCAATGATCCCTGCTGGGGGCGCCAATCCGCCCTCCTTCGCAGCACCCTCCGAACTGAACACCGTCGCTCGAGGTCCGGGTGCCCTTGCTGAAGAAGGACAACCACCCGCACGTGTAAGCTGCGGGCGGAGTGCGATCGGTCGGGGTTCTCGTATAGTGCACTCCGAGGCCGCAGGGTGTACTGGGACGTGCGTACAAAGGTGTCGCCGCAGCTCCTCGCTTGAACCAAAAGACCGCGGACCTCGTTGCTGATCGTAGTTCTCGGCTCGCTGCTTGTTGTAGTCGCTGCTCTGGGTGAAGGTGTTGCTGATGATGCTCGTGTTGTTGTTAAACTACTGTCCGTAAGCTCTTGCTCCGCTACGACGCCCCTCTCAGAGTCGATGACGATCGAAGCGATGCTAGGGACGATGACGGGTGAGGACAAGCGACTCTTCATATTGGACATTCGAGCTTGTCTGGCGGTCTGTACTGCCAGACCTGCATCGTGTTCGACCGCGTGCAACGGTGTGCAGTCCAACTCCTCAGTACGGGCCGAGGGCAATGGCCCCGACTGCGAAACACAGTCTCGCTCTTCAAGCACCTGTTGCCTACGACCAGGAAGTAAGGACGCTTCGCATCTTATGGCTCGGCTCCTTGCTGAACGTCTGGTGGGCCCTGAGCGCGGAGACCGTGGCGAAGGTGCGGCCACATTTCGACCCGTCCTCCAGCATACTCTCGCACTTGTGAAGCTTGGCGCTATCAACCCCAGTGATATCGTATTCCTGCGGCAGTGGCGGCTCCAGGGGTGTACGCGAAGGGTCAGCTGCTTAGAGAAAAAGGCCGCTCTGAGAGTGCGTGGGTCCAGCGCCGTGTACATGTCGGGTATCCCCTCATCCTCGATCAATACCCTGATGCTGCGCGGTACCAACATTTCTCGAAGTTCAGGTGCCAGGTCGTGCCCAAGAAGAACTTCCATGCCATCAGCAAGCTGCGTCGCCCATGGGTGGATGTCCGCTCCTCGGTTGATCACACCGTTCTCGTCCAACATGGGTATGGTGTGATTGGCTTGACCTTCAACCGCACGTGTGCCGAAAATTCCTGCCAGGAAATGAAGATGGTGTGTACATTCGCACATCATGCCCCACCACCAGCAGAGTCTACGTACTGTGAGCTCGAGCGCGACGGGGGTGAGACGCCAGTATCTCCATGCATTGAGGGTGGGCCATTACTTGTGCACGCCGTGGGCTTCAGTGTGGGCCCGTCCCTTGCACAAATAACTCCCACCACCAGATGTGGCCGCATTGTGCACGCATCCTCCAAATAGCGATCGTCTCGGGCGCCATCCAGCCTTCGAATGCCAGGCACCGCTCATTTTGTTCCACGCCCGATTAACAGCCATGATACGTTCGCGTCGTTCAGCCACGTTGCTGCAGCTGGGGCAAAGCATACCGCCAAGGTGCTTCAGTTCGGGCACCATCTTGCCGACCAGCTGCGCGTACCTGGATGGCTCGTGAGTGATGCCAACCCGTGATGCTGCGATAACGATCTCGGCTTTCGTGCGATTCTGCTTGTACGCCTTGGCTTCGCCACTCACATCGAGACACTCAGCGTCCAGGTTGTTCATTTTGCGGATCTCCTTGGCATGGCTTGATGGAGGAATCGCGATAAGCTTCAGTAGGTCATCAATGAATAGTTCAAGCCCATCTCGCATCTGGCCAGCGTGTACTTCGATATCGAGCGCGTAGTCTCGATGCAGTCGCCTATACTGTCGTAATTGCTGTCCATGCAGAATTCAGGCTCGTTGCTGTCCCCAATGAGGCCGCAGCTACCAATATATGAACAAATCCAGCCATGGGGAGTGGAGATGCGCATCACTGCCTCTTTCCGCCTTTGCCGAATGAGCCCAGGATTGCCAATGATTCGAGCACATATGTTGCCGTCGTCGTCCTCCTCGTCCTCCTCTGTCTGAACTGCTCTGGCCTCAGAACCCAGATCAGACCATCAAATTTGCAACTTGGGAAAGCAGATCTCTGGCCATACGACTTAGCTACCAACGTCCATATGCATGCCCGAACTCGATAAAAACTACAGTCCCCGATAAACGCATCATGGCCTCGCGCCTCCTCTTCCTAATGCCTCCGTACGCCCAGGGTGGTGCCCGATAGGGTCCTCCCTCAATGTTTACGATCGGCCGATAAAAAAAAACCTCGCCACCACGGACCGAAGCAATGCAAGAGACGAAGGCCAGGCGGACCAGGAATATCCGTCTTCCTGTCCAGCGCGAAGTTCTGGCTCATGTTTGCTTGGTTCGACGTCCGCGCCGAAGCTCGTACCAACGTGCGGATCTCTGTTAACAGCTTAGCAGGCTTGTTGAAGTGGTCCAGGTTCAATTTCCTCGTCGTCGGACCGGGTGAGTCCCGAAATCCATCGGGTCGAACGCAGAACAAAAAACGCCGAGTCCTGCTGTCTGTGTCCAGGTTTGCTGAGGACACATGGGTTCGTCATAATCAAAAACCTCAATGGGTAAGCTCCAGCATGGGGAAACCTGCGTCGATCCCCAGCCAGAGCACCCTTGACGCCTATCACCGCATGCGGGCTATCGGGTCGAGGGGGGAGTCCAATATCTTCAGTATGTTCGAGCGTGACGGCCAGGAGCTTGACTAAGCACGTGCCATCCAGTTCTGACGCGCTGAAACCACCAGCACATCCAGGTATTGAGAATGCACAAATCCATGCAGAGGGCGGAGGCTGGCATGATGGCAGCGGCCGGTAGTCTCCTCTTGCGTACACCGTTCCCTCTATCTGCGCGGCGCCGTGCGGCCGAGTGCATGTCGGCAAATTGCCGCTGAGCCCATCCTTCACGAATGTGCTGTTCGAAGTCTCGATCGTGCCGCTCGCGTATGGTTCTCATATGCCGATGCAGTACCTTCGTGAGCTCCTTCACGGTGTCGCTAGCCGCGCGCGTCCGAGGCGTCGGCTCGATATGCCGATCGCTTGGAGGCGCTTTATTTATTGAGCAGATCCAGCCTCCTCCCCATCGCATTCTCTACCATTCGGGGCGTTCGGCTCGGAGCGAGGCATGCTTTTGGGCGACCTGCCTGCTCACAGCGACATAGAGGTGCATATATCTGTCTGGGCTGGCATCCGTTCGCACCTCCGTGAACTCAGCTTGGTACTGCTCCAACGCCTCGTGTAGATCTCGCAAAAAGGGCTCGCGGCCAAGTCCCTCCTGCAGGCATTTACACAATAGTGGCCAATGCCAGTTCGCTCGTACAGTGTTGTCGTGGCCAGGGCAGTGCATGTAACCATATCCAGCGACCGGTAGGTAGTCCATGGAATATTTACTTGTTCGTGTACGTCTGGCCGCTGCCAGCCATATTCGACAAGCCGCCTCCGCAACCAACGAAATCGGAGTGACAGTCTAGTCGATGGTGGTTGCGCCGTGATGTTCAATGGATGTAGGTCCCACCCTCTTGTGCGTATCGAGTGCAGCTAATTCATGCGTGCGCAGTAACTCGTGGATCGCGCGGCCATTCTCGTTCTCGTTACCATTGTCGTGCTGGCCTATGCTCACATCGTGTACCCTGAGTTGACCTTCTGGCTGAGGAGCCCAGTGCTGGCATCCGTAAGAATAATGGGCACTCGTTGGTACGCACATCCACGAAGTTGCTCATCAATCCAGTTCCGCAAAATCTCGCATTTTCTACGCCAACCAGGGCGCGCTCTCGAAGTCCTCGGTCTAGATTCGAACTAAGCTGCGATAATGCGCATCTTGAGCGGCCTCTTGTCCACATCCACCAGGCCTCCGCGTCCTGCCACGATCGGAGGAGGAACAGTGACGCGGGAGACGCTTGTGGTACGTAATCTTTCGCCAAGAATAATCGAACACCCTGCGCTCTCGTTCGTGCATGCTCCAGGCTGCCAAGGAAAATGTATTACTGCATGATCTCCCGTTTGTTCTCGTGTGTGGGCGGGGTGGGGGTCGACCGATGAAAAAGCTAGTGATCGTCGTCTGCCAGTGCCAGTGAGACCCCCAACAGCAACGCTTCTGTATGCAAGAGAGAGCTCCAGCAGGCGAGAGGGTTGCAAGCTGCCCACATTGTGCGTCAGGATCGGTACGTTTCGTAGCAACTTGTAGGCGTTCGTCATATCACCGGCGCGGGGCGGCCCCGGGGCACCAGCGGCTGACCATTGCAGGCTCAGGCGAAGAGAGTGCCGTCGTGCTCACAAAGCCGTGCTCCTCCCGAAAGGGAGCCTCTGTTGCTTTGAGGATGAGGATGATGATGATGATGATGATGATGATGATGATGATGATG